TCCACATCAGAAAGCCACCTCAGGAGCTCACTGGTTTGCTAAATTAGAATATCTGCTTATTTTCAGCCCAGTTTCATTCATTCATACCCATTTCTTCTTGGTCTCATTGTCCTTTAGCCTAGCTTGGTCTCTGCCTAGTTCTTTCCCGTGCAATACTCTGATAAAAAGCAGCTGTCCTGTCTTCCAGCCCTTCATCCTGCTAAATAAAGCAGGACATGTCCTCCCAAATGCTGTAGGTACAGACTCTTCCATCTGTCTGGCCGATTTAATAGCCCCTTCTGTGCCAGATTCATCTTCCTTGAGCAAGGGTGCTGTGAATGCTGCACATCACCCTGCCCAGCACCTGGGAAACACTTCCCTGCATGAGTGATCAGATTCACTGCACAAATCTTTCCCATCAGATGTCAGTCAACTCTGCATTTCTGACAGTTATTAGTCCATAAATAAAGTACTTTGAACATTGCATTTAAGTTTCTTTTTTACCTTTTTTTTTTTAACTCCACTCATCAGTTTCATTTTTTTCTTTGGGATATTTTGGTCCTGTAGTCTTCAACCTCTGCATTATCTACAGGTTGAGGATACATTTTGGTGCTAACTTAGTGAAAATTCTGCTTGAGTTCCACATTCCAGTTCTTCCCTTCCTATTAGTTTTTCTCCAATAAATGCCTGTCTCCTCAGCAGCCACTTCTTTATCCACAGTGCAATTCCTGTGGCATTAGTGCTCAACCTTCTCCAGTGTAACTTGTACATTTCCAGTGTCAGAGGTATCTGGTACAGAATTCTGTATTTCACAAGTCACTTGGTTTTGATTTCCCAGATGAAGAATATCTTGTCTGCCCAATATGAGCCCAGGAAGATCTTTGATTTTTACCTCCATCTCATTTTTAGCTTTTATCTCACCTGCCTTCTTGCCCTTGCTCCTGTGTTCACCATAATCTGTGACACTTCAAACATTCACTTACTATTGATACCCTCCTTAAATTCTCTAAATTATTTCTTTCCTAAGCAAACACATTTTTTTCTTACTTCTCCTATTACTTAATTTTTTTACTGCTTATTCTTGTTCCTTTATGAGCTCTAACTCAGCTCTTATTTTGGCAGTTCTCAATTGATCCCTCTCCTTCTTGACCTGAAAAACGTGGTTTTCCCTTCAAATCCTGAAATCCCCATGAAAAGCTTCTCTTGTTGCATTACAAAGCAAACCAAACGAAACCCAAAAACAACTCTACATGCTCCAACTATAGTTCACAAAATCTTCAAACTCAGCCAAATCAAAATCAATTTTTGCTGGGACTCAGCTTAGCATCTCTTTTGCCCAAGGGCTGTTTCCCTGCCAAGTTGTTGCTTTTGCTCCCACCCATTTCAGCATTCTTCAGACTATTCAAAATTCAAGCATATATGAATCCAGTCTGCCTTATTTAAATACACAAGGTAGAAAAAGAAGTCATGCCACAGATTACATCCTAATACAACATGATTTGCAGAACAAACAGTTCTTCCCTCCCGTTCCAGCCCTAAAATTTGAAGGACACTGTTTCAGGTAAGTGTGGAAGGGAAGGAAGTGCTGCAGGGACATCTGGACACATCTGGCTTCTATCTGCTGGGTTTCTGCACTGCCTGTGGTTAACACAGCCAATATTCCTCAGGACCATTATGCAAGCCAAGCATCAGCTGGTGCACCCAGAGTTGAGAAGTCTCCCTCTGGTACCCTTGCAGCACTCATGTGGCTTAGAGGTTCCCATAAGTAAAGCTGTATTTTTAAGAGTAGTTATAAAAACAGTAAAGCCTCTTTGAAGAGGAGAGATTCTCCAGGCAGCTCCATGCAATGTTACCATCAATACCAGCAAGGCCTTGACTCTGGGGAGTCTGGATGTGATGTGAAAGTTGTGTTCCCTAAAATGAAAACCAAGAGGCCTCCTTACAACTACAGTCACCACACCTCACTCAGGTAACACTAAACCATGGTAAACATGGCATTTTCTAGTCTCTGCACTACTAGTTTTGCTCTTCAGCCCTGAGCATCCAAAGGAGAATCAGTTCCTGCAGTGTTGAGCTAAGCAACAGGCAAGGTTGTAGCTCAGAATTGGAGCACAGGAAAACATGTTTGTGCTGCAAGAACGTGGCAGGAGGGTGAGCTGCTAGGCTGGGCAACAAAGGGGAAAAGAAAAAAAAAACAACCAAGAGAGGTGAATACATCTGCAGGACAGGTCTGGTCCAGCAGCTCTGCTCAGAGATCATGTTGACCATGAGGAGTTAGCAGCTCTTCCACTGGCACAGCACCTGGGAGAGGTGAGGAGGAACAGGCTGCAGCTGATTTGCCAACAACTGGTGCTTTAGAAGAAGGCTGGAATTTATTAAAGGCCTTGGCTCAGGACAGCAAACAAGAGTGGTTCAAAGCCTGTCTTTAATATCAAGTATCAAGGTTTCTGACTGTCTGAAAGAAAGACTCTTGCAGAGGCCTGGGTTGCTGCAGACCATTGAAAAACCATGAGTAAGATTTCTCAATTAGGAATGTAGTGCTAATTAGGCTTTTTGGGTCAGCCTGGGTGGGTTGGCTAATTAGCAAAAGTAATATACCCATGTGATTGGCCTGGAGTGTGGGTGAGGTTCCTGGAAGCACCAGGTGATATCTGGTGAAAAAAAAGGATGTGTGGGTGGTAAAATCAGGACAGCTGCAGTCAGTGACGAGAGAGGGGAAATACATCTTCACCAGAAAATGCACAGAGGCCCTGAACTTTCAGAACAGTTGAGGTAAGGATTAGTAAGCTCTTTTATAAGCTTTATTGAAAGCTTAATTTGGGATGAAATAATTTTCTTTGTCAGATGGAGAGATATGCAGGCTGCCCAAGCACGGATGCTGTCGTGTCGAGGCAGCTGGGTGGCGTGTGCCACAAACCCCAGGGCCCTGCCAGGGCAGCTCTGCTGCAGCCTCAAGGTGTGGAGGAACCACAAGGCCCTGCAGGGGTGGTTTTAACATGAAAGCAGATGTGAATTCAAACTGCCAGCCTGCGTTTTCAGCTCCTAAATAAAAGATGAGTCTTACCTACATAATGTTTTACTTTTTGTTTTAGTAGAGGAACAGCAACACCCGCCCTCCCTAGTTGTCCCCTGCCACTGCACAGGGTCACACAGGGGGGCTGGAGCCGTTGGCAGGGCTGGGATGTCTGTCCCATGGTAGTTGTAGTAGTAATGCTCCTTAAAACCATTGTCCTCGCTCTCTAACAAACCTCACAGCAGCTCCTGGGGCCTCCAGAGAAGACTCTTGATGGTCCCTAAGCCACCACTTCAGCTGTCCCACTGCACCCCCAGGAGAGGCAGGCTCTGTGTCCCAGGGAGCTCCCTCCAGGTGCAGGGAGGAGGCTGCCAGGGCACCACAACAGCTGCATTAGGGTATGGAAGGAGTTGGCTCCTCTAGGGCAACTTTTCCAGGTTTCCACTCTGGGCTGATCTCCCCAGTATCCAGGGAGTTTCTGATGGAAGTGCCTGTTGTTTCAGCCACCTCGTGGGAGTGACTGGCAGCTTTTACATGTGGTTCAGAAAATTAGAGGAAGGCGAGAAACAAAACAGAGACTTTAACCCACACTAAAGCACTTCAGATGTTCCTGGTGGCTGTGTCTTTCCTTCTGGAATTACCTCCTTTTCTACATGTCCTCATCCTTATGGTGATGCTGCTTGGGCACTATGTAACTGGGTCAGTTAATACAAGGATCAGATTCTGCCTTTTTAATTTTTTGTGCGTTTTTACTCCTCATTTGGTCTTTTGAAGGCTGGTATCTCTGGACAATCAGAGTTTTGGAGCTATGGCCTTTTATTTATGTAGCTAAAGCAAGCAGGGCAATTTGCAACAGCTGCACACAACAGAGTGCTGTTGTCTTGTAAAATTGAAAAGTGTAACTTCTAGATTGCTGTGCAGGGATACACACCACTAGGAGTAAGATTTATTTCTGCAGTACTAAGATGAAATACAAATCTATCAGAAAAAAACTCCATCAGTAAGCTTTGCAAGAAACATATTTAATTAATTTTACATTGAGTAGTTAATACATTCTGGGATTTTTCCCTCTTGACAGATGGCAATTTAAGTTCTGAATCCTTAGGGAAAAAAAAAAACCCAAGCTATTACATCCAATGATTTAACATATTTCACTTTTCAAAATATTAGAGATGGGCCTAAGACAAAGTTTGGATTCAAATGCTCATGTTCCCAGAGGGTGTTGTGCTCCAAGGTTTTGGTTCAGGCCCATCTTTTCCTCTCGACAAGTACACATTTGAAAAGGATGCTGCCAAATAAATCTCCTGTTTTGAAAAGTTAAGTATTACATGTGTTTCTAATAACATGTCAGATGGGGTAGCATGAAGTAATTTCAATTATTTTTATTATTTGTCTGTGGGTTTTTGCTTCCTTCTTTCATTTTGCTGAGCAAAACAGCTAACCTAGAGTAGTCCATCTCCCTTCCCATTTCCAGTCAGGGACTCAAAATGAAACTAGCACTGGCAAAAAATCCCACCCTGCTAGTGCTTCTAGATACAAGTGAATGTCATTAAAAAGAAATTATTTCTTAAATTGCATGAAGGTATCTGTTGCAGCCCATTTTTTTTCTAGTTAGTCTAACCTAAAAAAGAGAGCAGAAGGAATGAGATGCAGAAATCTCTTTCAGGGTGCTAGGACCTGAGGGAGAAAGACCATACACAAACAGAGGTAAGATTTGGGAAGGCTCTCCTTGTATCCTCATCACATGCTGCTAAGGGAAAACAGGTTTTCTTTTAAAAAAAACCCCAACAACTCAGCTTTGGATCAGTCCAGAATTCATCTATCATGTCAGACAGCAACTAAATTAGAAAATGTTATCTGGAGTAAATTCAAAGTGTATGTTCAGCCCCAACCAATAAAGAGATTCCTGTTGAAAAAAAAATAAAGACAAATTAGTGGAAAATTGGAACGAAACTACTCTAATTTTTTTTATTTATTTTTCTCTCCTGTTTTCCAATGTATTTTCCAGAGTGGATCACTAAAGGAGCCAGAGCCAAACAAACTCCCACCTCAGCGACCACCACCTCAAGGTTGTTTACAGTACATTCTCGACTGTAATGGCGTTGCAGTAGGACCAAAACAAGTCCAGGCTACTTAGATGATTGAGACTAAAAAGCAAGGGTTAAAGCAAAATGGGCAAAAAAAAAAAATCAAAGAAAAAATTAAGAATCGAACACCTAAAAGCAAACATAGCAGTTTTGTTCAGTTTTTCTTTGCATTGTTTCAGTGCTGACCTGGACTGTGTTTTTTCTATGCAGTGTCAACTCTACCGTCTGGTTGTTTCCTTGTTCATGTCTGTGCGTGTAATGCTTACCTACCTTCCTCTGTAAAACTTGTGATTTCAGGGCTGTTGTCAACAGTGTACAAAGAATGTGCCTCTTTGGAGCCCAGTGCAACTGTACATTATGGATGGCTAGACAGTATTTTTTGAGTATTCTATATTGTTAAGTAAACACCCCCTCCCCCAGGTTCCGACTGAACCCCCTCTGCTGACTGTGAGTGTGTGCACACTGTGCCCATAGCCTTTATTTTTGTGTGCATGAGAAATAGGTAGGTGATCCAGATCTATTTTTAAAAAGTCTATATCAAGAATTTGCTAGTGAGGCTTTTTATTTATAATTTTATAAAACTTGTTAACGTTTCAGTTTTACTTACACGCAAGTGGAAGTCTGATATTTCAGTGACTCCATAAGATACAGTTCTTCCCAAGGAATATTTTAAATATCTTCTATTTTACATACTGGTATTCATATTTTTAGTAATTCTGCATTAAATTACTAGCTACAAAGCTATGTAAATGGGCCACCTATGTGCAATATCTCAGTGAAAGTGTGAGTATTTAATGTATCCTATTTCAATTAAGTAGTACCTTTTTTTGTCATTCTGAATTAGTACTCTATGGAGATTTTTAATGAAAACTAATGCAAATACTTTAAAAAAATTCCTATACTTCCCTAAGAGTGAAATCCCAGGTTATTTGGCAAGAAGTACCTCAAGGACTGTTAAACTTCCTGTAAGAGCTCATTTTTGTCAACTACTGAGATGTTAGGAGTTGGTAGATCAAGGTACCTTTAACCAGCTGGGGATCTTGCCCTTTCGTTAGAAAAACAAGACAAAAATGTCCAAAACTGGTTTTCTTTACCAACTCAGGTCTGCTGGCTTAAACCTAGAAATATCCAGGTGGCTATAAAGGAAGGTCAGTCCCAGCTTTATCCACAGAAATAGGGTTTGAAATCAAACATGCAAAAAGACTTGAGATGCCTGACAACTGCTAGATTTTCTGCAGGTAGATTATTTGTGATTTTTGCATCAGCAACTTCCAGTGTAATGTTACAAGAAATACACAGGCAGGCAGCTAATCTGTTGGGAGAAATCTAGCCTAGAATCACAAGCTACACACTGCTAGCATACCATAAAGCTTAGTTGCAAGTGAGCCACAAAACTATAATTTTAATCTTGAATGTGTACAAAGATGAGTAGTGGCCATTAGTTTAGTGCAAACAATTTTGTTGAAAGGGAAAACAGCCTTATTTTCTGCTTCTGTTTTCATGGAAAAAATTATCAGTGAGAATCATCATTCTTAGTGTTTCTTTTATTTGTACAAGCTGGCTGGTAAGATGAGAATTAAGGTATGCATAATTAGCTATTTAAATGTTTGTGGTAAGTGCTACTGTTTACTACCTATCAGTAAATTACATGAATATTTTGCTTTAGTGATCAGCATTTGTCTGGGTCAGTGATCATTCCAATGATGGCATTGGCTATTTTCTTCTATATTAAGAAAATTCCATTTTAGAATCAGGTTCAAAATCCTTACCTCCAGACACCATAAAAGTAAAACCATACTGCCCTGGGGTGGAGAGATGAATCTGAAGATGGATCTTATTTAAAGTAGTTGGTATTTCTTGCATGTAGCAGTACAAGTATTCACAAGTGCTTTTCACACGACATTGGTGAGCTGTGTGTGCAAAGAAGAGATGGGTGCTGCAGATAGGCCTGCAGCTTGTGGGCTGTAAAGGATTTACAAGGGCACACACCATTCCTCCATACCACAGACCAGAAGCAAGCCCAAATGTCTCTGCATGTGAGCATGCTTAGGTGCAATATTGTGGGTAACAGGGAACAGATGTTTTACAGTGTAGGCTTAATGTTCAGTTTTTGTTGAGTTATTTTTGGTAAAAGTTTCTTTCATGATTGTTGCCTTTTGTACAACCCAGCTGCAAGAAAGTGAGCAAATGCTGGAAGTGTGACAGCAGTATATCTTTTATGTGAAATATCTTGTACAGCTTAATGTGCAATAAAAAGAAAGTTATATCTGTCTTCAGTGTAAAGTTTCTGGCATTCAAGCCTGTATGTACAAGTGGGGGAAAGAAACCTTTCTGTTTTTCAATATTGAGTGAAAGGAGACTAATAAGAAAACCATCCTTATTAAGATGTTGCAAGACCATGTTATCACCTTCAAATATTTCCTACAGAAGTGGTTCAAATTAATAAACAATGAAGGCACATTCCTTAACATACAGTACGTGCTATTTATCTTTCTACACAACCCGCTGCTACCGCTGTATTAAAACTTACTGAAGCTTTAGGACATGCTGTTCTCACACACATACACTGGAATCTCATAGAGTGAGTGGAAAGCTAAGTATAATAGCAATTAAAAATAATAATCATATATTGCAGAAGTAGTTCCAGATATGAAGGTTTTCTTTTAGAGACCTGAACAGATTCAGCCTTTTGCTTGCACTAAATGTCTGTGTCAGACTAAAAAGTCACAAGTTGTTTTCTGTAATTCTTACTGTTCAGCAAAGCTCTTACCCCCACTGAAACATTCTGCAAGCAAATTGCTCAGAATCTCAGCCTGTCCTTTCTTCCCCTTAACTCAGCTGTCCTGTGTGCCTTCTCACGTGAAAGAATAAAGGTTCAGTTCTAAAAAACATCAGCCCAGAAAACCACACTCAGCCATCTGACAGGAGATAAAAGCAGCACGCCCGCTGGTGTCTGACACAGCACTATTCCAGGCAGAAAGCAGAAAAGAAACCCCTGTATGATGATGTAGCATCTTTCAGCCATGGATTTCACAACCCAAGTCTCCACTACACGTTGTAGTTTCACACTTGATACAGGATTTTGCCATTATTCTCAGTGGAAAGAATTCCTTGGTAAAGAATTAGTTATGACTTCCTTGTGTTTCTTGTAATGTTCTTGACATCTGTCACTACTAAGGGGTTAAGTAACTTATCAAAAGACTCTAAATTAGCCAGAAAATTTCAGTATGAAGTTGTTTTACTGCTACAAGTGTGAATCTAAGAAATAATTAGAGAAATAATTTTAAAACTTTGGAGGAACAGAACTGCAGTAACTACACAGAGAATAGCAGCTGGGGTATTCAGTTTGTCACAGCCTCTCCTTGAGCTGGGCCAGAATTATGAGTTGATTTGAAGTCAGTACCACTGCTGCTGGGATAAATTTTGTACTTAGCAGTTTTAAGGCTGAACTATATGGGCTCCAAGCAAGTTACTAATGTACCAGTTGTGATGTGTAGTGTTGACTACATGAGACTGCAGTCCGTGTGCATAGAATATTGCCTCAAAAGTAGAATTAGTCTCATTCCAGGATGATTTTTAAAGTGTTGGATATGAAATCTAATAAGACTTCTTTGATACTATAACATTATGAAGTTTTTCTTGTACTGAACCTAGGGGGCCCAGTGCAACCCCAAGGAATGCAATCCCAAAGCCAGGAGCCATTGCAGCCACAGCGCATGTACCCCCCTGGGCAGGCAGCAAAGCCCTCAGCTTCCCAGCCACAGCGCCCGCCTGGACCCACCACCCAGCAGCCACGGCCCCAGGCCCAAGGTCCTCCCAGCACCAGATTATCAAAGGAAGCAGAGCCACAGCCAGCTCCAAAACCAGCTCCAAAACCAGCTCCAAAGCCAGCTCCACAGACAGCTCCAAAGCCAGCTCCACAGCCAGCTCCAAAACCAGCTCCAAAGCCAGCTCCACAGCCAGCTCCACAGCCAGCTCCACAGCCAGCTCCGCCGCCTGCTCCGCAGCAGAAGCCTCAGTCTCATCCACAACTCAAGTAAGATTTGCTCTATCCCTTTGCTTTTCTCCTCACAACACAGCCTTTGTTGTCCTAACTGTAATCTGGGAGTTGGGCTGATATTCAGAAGAAATGTACTTACGTTCCTAGGTCTAAAATGAGGTTAAAACATCTCAAAAAGCTTGTTCTCTGTTAATGATTAGTAATAATCATTAGTTATATCCTAAGCACTACGCAAAATTTCATGTATTAGTTGTGCAATCTCTGCCCCAACTAGGTCTGAACACCCTCATCTTTTTCACATTTGTCTTCTCCTTTTTCTGTCCCTGACTCATGACCTGGGTGTGCTATATGCCTGCCCAGCAAAGAGGAAGCCTTATCTATTTAAACTTTTAACCTTGCAGCCACTCCAACAGGGATCCCACTTTCCGAAGGCCTAGTTCAGAACCAGCCCAGAACACCATGGCAGGGGTGGCATTGGCTGCCCAAGCTGTTCCCACCAGCCCTCTCCAGAGGAGGCTGTGGGACTGGCACAGGCACAGTCCATCCTTCCCTCCCTCCTGGAGGAGCCCTTCAGGGCACAGCACACACTGCTGGAGCCAGCCAGTTGCTGCTGCAGGGAAGGGGTGGGAAGGAGAAGGGGCTGTTGCTCCAGCCCTTCTCAACAGCTTTAGCCCAGGAACAGCCCCCACAGGGAAGGCAGCACCAAGGACTTGCTGGTTTCCAACCCAGCAAGCCTGACCCTCACTGTAGCCAGCAGAGCCACAGACACGTTCTGCTTGTGTTGGTTAAGTACAAAGACAGGCATGGAGTCTTTGTTTTATCCAAGTTACACAGATCCCCTTTTTCCACCCACTCATATGCTAATCTTGGTGTGAACCAGTTCTAAGCCCTCATCTGAGCACAATTCCATGGAAAAATGTGCTAGATGACCATGTGCAAAGATCTTTTCCTTGCCCTCCTAGGACAGTGTATTTCTATACTCTCTTTTATAATCATAAAACTCAAGTCATCCATTATTTAAGTGCATGTAGAGACCAGGGAAGTTGATTTTCTTAAGCAAGATGGAAGACTATAAACCAGTTTGAAACTTGACTTCTGACATTTAAGAGAAGCAGTTACGACCAGGTACAGAACTGCACCACATACTGTGTCCCAGCTTTCTGCCTTTCCTTTAGTTCCTTGTTCCAATCTAGATTCTTCTTCAAATGGAAGAGAACAGTCTCCATCTAAAATAAAATAAAATAAAATTAAAAGGCCAAATTAACATTTTTATGATGCCAGCCATAATATGAGGAGTTTTTCCAACTCTTCAGAGGCAGTTTTAGGTCCTACCCCAAGACTCAGATCTCCTGCCTATAGGATTAACTCCATCCATTTGCATGTGTATGCTTTGTATTCACCCACATGCTGTTGCCTAACCTGTATGTACATGTTATTAATCTGTGAATAAATATTTAATTAGGCTACTTATTGTGTTACTAATCAAGTCAAGTGCTGCTTCCCACCCTCCCTCTTTCACTGAGTACAAACAAACATTTATCAGTCTATTCTCATTAACACAACTATAATTTATGAAAAACCTAAACCGCCCGTAGCACTGTTTGCTGTACATTATTAGTTTAGAGGCAGAGAAGTTGCAAACCATGAAGAGTAGAAGACAATCTGAGTAAGAAAAGTCTTTCAGTTTTTTTAATATAGCAAACAACTGAAATCCTGATGTTGTACTGGGATAAAAATGAAATCAGGGAAATAGTTTTACTAGTGTGTTGATGTCTTCAGCATAAGATTGTCACTCGTTCATGTTTTCTATTTAAATTCAAACCTACTTTTTAACTATTTTATCTGACAAGTTTTGAGTTAAACTTCTGACATTTTCCTTCTTGTATGTGTATTCTTGCTTACAGAGACTTTATACTGTAATAATATGATAGCACTGAAAACAGAATAGCATTGGTAGACTAACTGCTCGTAGACAAGAAAAATTGCATCTGATTTGGGGATCTTTTTAAAAAAGATATAAGGTGTCGTTAAGCCTTCATTAATGATCAAACACCCAAGAAATATATATAGAGAGAGCACATGACAACTTAAGGATACATTCTTCAAACTCTTGCCACTACACCTAATTTTTCTTTGTGCTTAAATGTCTTCAGCCTTAACAAACACAATCATTAATCATCCTTCTGTTGGTGGTGGTTTGGATTTAGCACGCAGGCCCCCTTTTTCCTCCAGCTCTAGTTTACATCAGCCAATTGACTGGAACACAGTGTGTTCAGCTCTGTAAAAAAGGCAGAGTGTTCTCAAAAGGTTATGCTGCTTCTCCAGTCGAGGTGCAGAAGGAGGGTGCAGTGTTGCAGCAGCTCTGTGTGCTACATCCAACCACCACGTGTGTTTTGCTCAGGTGCAAACTGCCTAGATCTCATGGGCATTTGTCCCTCTTTCATCATCGCTCCAAGCTAGATGTGGGTGGGAGCTGGCAGACAATGCCACCACACAAAACATGTTGCCTTTTTCTCTTGCAGCAAGTCGCAGTCCCTGACAAATGCCTTCAGTTTCACAGAGTCCTCCTTCTTCCGGTCGTCTGTGAACGAAGATGAAGCAAAAGCTGAAACCATCAGAAACTTGAGGAAATCCTTTGCTAGTCTGTTTTCTGATTAGCCAGCTCCATCAACGTGCACATCAATCAGCATATAGTCTGAACACTTGGTGAATGTTACCTAGGTTTTGTTCTCCCTGTGACAGTACCTTCTCTCCTGTGCTAACTGTTGTACTGAGCAATATGTTAACATCTAAAAAAAGAAAAGAAAAAAAAAAAAGAAAAAAAAAAAAGAAGGACTTTGCTGAGATACCATTCAGGAACATGTATAAACATCTCTGAAGAAGGAAGGGTTCTATCACTCTCACAGAATGCCAGTTCTAAGGTCCTTATCCATTGTAATATTGTGGCCTTACTGTGACTGAACTATATAATCCTATTTGAGGCTCCTTTGTAGAACTGTGTTAATAAAGCATTGAGCAGGGGGGGCTCCCCGTGCTGCCCCCACGGCCAGTGTGTTGCCATGCATGTGTATTTTGTGTGTAAATGTTTTGTACTGCAAAGTATAGTCTTGACTTGTTCTTGCCTCCCGCATTTAGGAGGCAGCTCACACTGACGTTCTCGTCCAGCCACATCAATAATGTGAGAAATTGAAGCAGTTTCTTCCTCCTTATACAATCTTCCCATCAGCTGGTTGTAGACTCCTGATGTATTGCTGAGAGTTATCAGTACACTGATTTAATGTCATAAATAGAGTGTGTATGTACTACTGTATCTCCATTTGTCTATTTACATTGATTTTCAAACTGTAACCATAACTGGGTTTAGTTGCAAAGAAATATGCATGATGTTACCCTTATTTTTGTGAACACCTTCTAATAAATGTAAAGCCCCATGCCTGATTTAAAAAAAAAAAAAAAGAAGTATTCTACAAAACTTGTTTCAACATCACTATATATTGTCTGTTTTGACTGATATCAAAAGGGTAGCTTTATGATTATAAAATATTTGGGCAAAAACCACAACTGTAAGAAAATAAACTATGGCAAATAATTCCCTTTTTGAATCAGCATCATAAAAAACAACTGCAATATTAGCCTGTCTGAGGGAGAAAATGAGCCACACAGCATCAACTTACAAACCCTGGGGGGATTTGTAACGGGTGTCTAGAGACCATCTCTTTGCCTCAGGCATTTTACTCCTTGCAGATCTGCTAGCATATGGAGTCTAGGACACAAGTCCTAGTGTTGGATTCCTTTGGGTGAAGAGCCTGGCTTGGGCCAGGAGGCTGGCAATCAAGTATGGAAACTTTAATCTGCAGTGATGTCAGAAGGGAGTTTGCACATAAACATCTGATAGCTCTGTTTGTCAACATAGCCCAAGTTGATGATCCTAGCATATGTATTTCCTGAAAAGCAGACATGTCCAAATCACTCACAGGCAACACAACTGACACCCTGTTTGGCCTGCCAGTGAGGCCTGACTCAGTTGAACAGTCATGCCCAGAACAATGCTTTCCTCCAGGCTCAGAGGAAAGTGAGGTTCTGGGTAAGTTTGCACTGCAGCATTACAGCTGTTCCACACAGAGCATTGCCCTCTGTAGGATGGAATCTCAGTCTCTCTGTGGAGCTCACAGAGAAATTCTCTCACTGCATTAATGGCAGTTCTCTTTTCTCTCAGGAGGAATACACTGTGTACAGAAGCCCATAGTTTAGATGATGAATTCTGTGGCAAAACAGAATGCTTTACCTGTTCATGGGTTTCATCAGTTCACAAAGATCAGCTGTAGTTTGATTTTTTTCAAGGTTTTGTGCCCCTCCTGCCCCCCACTGGATTGAAACACTGGGCAGCAATAACAACCCTGAGCAGTCCTAGAGCTTTTCATGTCTGAGAAGCACTTTTTATATTAGAAAGATTAATCGAAGTTGCTAACGCAAATTAATTACTGCTACAGAGAAAGCATAGTAATTATGCATAGTTTGGCATGGTTCATGATTAGTACATGCCTAGTTCCAGCAATATTTAGTACAATGTGAATTACAGGTAGTTCATTAGTCCAGGCCCCAGATTTCGACTTGCGGCAAAGTTTCTCGCTCACATAAAATTCCCTCCCACCTCTTCCTGGGAGAAAACGGGTTTCACTACAGCCTTTGTTTTACCATCTGGAATAAAAAAAAGAAAGAAAAGGAAAAAAAAGAGGGCAGGATGATGCAATCAAATCTGCATGGTGTATCCTCCCACACAATGTACATAACATATTGCTTCTCCAGGGTGCCAGAACTTCTTTGTACCTCCAAGCGTGCTAAAGCGTGTCACATGCAAGCTGCTGCATGCTCATCTTCCTCGTGCAGTGTTTCATGGTGAAGGCATTTTTAAGCCACCCATAACACATCCCCAAAATACTAATCAGAAAAAAAAAGTGAGGTTTGATAAAAAGTCTACTCCACCATTCGTAGCCCATTCTGTCTTGCTTCATTAACTGGGTGGTGGTTTGGATTCACGCGCAAGCTCTGAACACCCAGGGACCCGCTGTGGTGCTGTCTGTGGTTGTTCATCTTCATGAACATTAGCCTAGGAACATCTCTGCTTCTCTGGCACCTTTTCCATGGAGATGCAGCTTATGATGCCACAGTTTTCTGTGTAGAGCACTCCATCTTTTTTTTTTCATCTTCTAAGTTAGGCTGAGATGAAACCTACAGAGCTGCTAATCAAGTTTAGGCTTCAGACTGAGATGGAGCCGTTTTCTGACCATTAGGCCTGAAGCTAATTCAAAACACTGAAGCAGATTTCAAGAGATTATAAATGTGGGCAAAGTGACTAATCTGCCTTTGAAACAACCACTAACTCTCCAGTAAAAAATTAGTCAAAATAGTACTCAGGTACTTTGTAAACATTGCGTGTACTTTGTGTACTTCCTACTCCACAAGAACAAAGTCACTTCTCTGAGCCAAGGTTGTCTCCGTGAACAGATCACACCCAAGAAAGCTCCTCTTTACAACTCTGAAAAGTCAGTGCCTCTTGTCTGTGCATTGACATGGTTGTTGCCAGGATTTGGTTGAAGACTACAAATAAATTTCCTAGAAGGCTGGCCATCAACAGCTGCTTCCAGTGAGGCTGAGTAGGATGCAGGTGGCTGCATAAGTCTGCTGGAGCTATCTCCTGCCTGATCAGATCTTGGAAACCAAGACAGCCACCCAGGGGCTGGCAGATGTGCTGCAGGACCTGTGGGGCACCTGGGCTGCACTGAAATGGCAGTGGGAGGCCAGGAAGGTGATCTCCAATGGCCAGTGTTTGGGACTGAGCTTCCTCTGTCTGGGCACTCAGCTGCCTTGTCCTTTGTGCCATCCCAGAGCAGAGCATGGGACAAGTCAGCTCTGCCTTTCTGCTTCCCCCAGCAAAGTAAAGCTGTGTTGCAACCAAAGCATTTGCAAATTTTGATCGCTAGTGGTGTTTCTTTTTCCACACCCAAAACAACTAGAAGTGGTTACTGACTCAGAGCGATTGAAGAAAGATGATCCAAACGGTCACATCTAGCAACACAACTGAATTGCAGATCTGAATGACAGTGCTGGTCTCCAGCATGGCAATGCTTTTTGTCAGGGAGACATTGCTCAACAAGCCATTCTTTTTCTCAGGATGTTTTTAAAACCTCATATCAGAATTTTCAAAACAGCCAGCAAAAATTAGTAATTAGTTTTCCAAACACATATTCAGTCATTTAAATAAGCAGCCAAATTTACAAAATCCTCTTTTCCTCATATCCTGTAATGCCTTCTCATTTTCTAAGGAAGAATATTCCACCTCAAGATGACAATTCACATTGTTTTATGAAACACTGATTTGCTCATTCTTAGTTAGATTCTTGCAGCTCAAAAACTATTTCAAGAAATAATGCAAATAAAATGTAACTTTTTTAAAAAGAGAACGAGTTCATATAATGTCTAGGCTATCAGGTGTGTTCTTTAAATTTAAAATAAACCAACAACAACAGAAAGACTATTCCATGATTTACTTTAAGATAGCCCAGAATGAGATATAGGGTTATTTTTTTTCCCACAGATTCTGTTAAAAAGAATCTGAAAGAGGATAAATATAAAAACCAAACAAACAAACAAAACAAACAGGAAAAAAAAAGGTATTGTATTTTTTACTGGGACTTCTCTTAGCAGAGGCATTGCTCAGAGCTTCCAAGGGTGGATGTGGTGCTTAAAAACGGATCCACTTCACATAACTTGACATGTAAAGCTTCCTAGTACAGGATACAAAATATGGAGAAGGTACCCGGCTTTATGGCTATATCTTTGTTCTGTAAAAGTGATGGGTTGCAAGAGGGCTGCAGAAACAGGGTAGAATGTAAGCTAACCTGATAAGACTGAGAATGGATTAATTGGGAGCTTAACTCTTTACACATGGTTTCTGTTAGCATTTGTCTTTCCTCCTAATCATTTCTACTTTACTCACATGTGTCTGACCAATCCAGATCAGTCAAATCTCCTTCAAGAGTTTATAAGCTCTGAGGAGCAGCTGAAATTTTGGTTAAAGGCAAGATCTGGAATTGTTATTCTTACCTTGTGCTGATCTAGGCTTTCTGACACCATGAAGACAGCTAGGGTAAGTAGTTAAAAAAAAGAAAGTTGGCTGTTCATGTTCTTTTGTAGTTAAAAAAAAAAAGAAAGTTGGCTGTTCATGTTCTTCTCTTGCTTGCTCAACCAAGAATGAGGCTTTGGTACAAAATGATGTAGGTGTTAAAAGTGCCTACACAGGAAATACAAAATAACTTATGTCTAGAAACAAAAAGAAACAAGTAGTGTATATGGGCTGGTACTTCACCACTTTTTCATTTGAGAGCTACTTTTTCTTGAGTTTATTACATGTGCAATGTGTGAGGGGAGCTGTGCCTCCTGTAGCAAAGCCTAAAGTGTAGGGTTGATTTCTACTGTAACTCAGAACAATGAAGATGATCACCCAAAGAATTAACATGGTCCACAGGTGTCAGATTTTCTGCATTTCTGCAGACAAGGAAAAACAGGATAAGCTGATGCTTCTTTTTCTCTGCCCCTCAGGTATTTCACATAAAATTCTGCCCTTTAAGTCTCCTGAAATGATGTTTGTGGCAACTGAAGTCATCAGGCTTTTTTTTTTTTTTGATAGTCAGAAGATGTCATTGTGAGAAATTTCATCCCTACCTCCTGTAATAAACCATGAGCATCTCACAGCTTCACTCCCAATATGCAACAGTAAGTTAGGAGG